AGCTTCAGTGTGTTCTTTCCTGGAATTTAGTGCTTGTTTTCTCTCTCTGCCAGATATGGCACTTGCTGGCCTACTGGTATCATGCCTGTTTGACTATTTCTCAAATCCTGTGCTGCCCAGAATGGATCAGTTTCAAGTAGCTAGATCAATAAACACAGCATTCAACAGTGTACTTTTTGAGGTATAAAAATCTAATGACAGCTTTCATCTCTGTGTCCCCAACAAAGATCTTGACATCAGAAAATGGAGGCTGAGGAAGATCAAGAACAGCCTTAAGAGAATAAAGTGGAAGATGGAGGTGACTCTAACCACTTTTAAATCTAAGCATCGCTAGAAAGGGAAAGCTAACTCTCCAGTTTAAATACAAAGTCTCTAAACAGGAATCACAGACTGACAGAATTAGAAGGAACTTAGAAGACAACGGAGGTAGAAAATGAAGGGACATGGAATACTTTGGCCAAGGCCACCCAACCTAGCTAGGAGCTAAAATCAAGTTAAGAACTGATGTCTAACTCTTTTAGGCACTAAACTATAGTTTCTAGTAGAAGTAAATTAATTAAGCTGATCCAAACTTCTCTGCATTAATGAGATTTCAGAAACTCTTTTTAAAAAGTGGCCTGGCGATATGTCTAACTTTTAATTCCCAGCATCTAGAACAGAGAAGACCAAAGGATCATAGCTGTAGAACATGAAGGGACCACAGAGGCCCCCTAATACAACCATCTTACATTGTAGCTCAGGAATCTGAGACCCAGAGACATTAAACTGACTGACCATGTTCACCTAGGGAGTAAAGGACCCGAAGTAGGAACAAAACCTACATGTCCTGGCTCCAAACCCCATACTCTTTCCACTGTCTCATAAGATGCTTAATAAATGGCTGTTGAATTGAAGATTGTGGTGCAGACAGAGTGAAGGCCTCTGGCTATCATTGAGCTATTGAAATAGAAAATTGTACATCTGAACATCCAGGATGGAGGAAACCTTGGATACCACTTAGCCTAAATTCTCAATTTCAGAGGAGGTGTAAACTGAGGCCAGAGAAGGTGAAAAGTTCGCCTAGGGTCACATGTGATTTGCCAGAACATTATTCATAGCTATTAATATTGGGCCAAGTACAATTATTTCATCTCACACATATTTATTTAGCACCTACTGTGTGTGGTATTACAGCATGTTGGGCTTAGAAGTAGGTGCTTAAGGAAAAAATTGCTGAAAGCTATTCAAGGAGCTAAGTGTTAGAGATCAAGAATCCCTTTAATTCAAAAACCATTCCTTGGGTTGGACCGCATAACACAGCAGTAGGAGGACATTAGAGATCAAAAGGAAAAAAAAAACTGTGTTCTCTAACGAACCTAGTAATCATGGTCCAGGAGAAGGAAGAATGAAAATCCAGGAGTGCTCAGAGTTGGGATAAGGGTTGAAGACACTCTATTAAGAGACAACAAAAGGAAAAAGGAAAATTGCACTGAAGGGTCCATCAAAGAGCTTTTGTGAGGGCCTCCTGAAAGGCCTCATAATAAAAAGGAAACTGGGCTGAAAATTTAGAGGAAGGTGAAAACCAAAAGATACAGTCAGCTAAAGCTTTCACACATGCACACGCATGCGCACACACACACACACACGCACACACGCACACACACACACCACATTACAAGACAGGAAACTTTTGACCAGCTTGGTGGAAGAGTGGAAAAAAACAGGAAAGTTCTTTTTCTCTTTTTGTTGCCTTCCCTCTCGCCCACTTCACCCCCCTCCCTTGTTTTCACCTAAACCATGTGTGAGGAAGAGGCAAACAGCATGAGAGAATCATCTCCTCTGTCCTCTTATCGCATGGTCCAAATGGGTTCTGAAAGTGGCTGCTTCAAAGAATCAATGATCACAGAATCATGGATGCAGAGCTGGAAGGGACAGGGTTTGGGGATCATCTAATCCAACTCACTCATTTTGCAGATTTGAAAACTAAGTCTCAGAATGATTAAGTGGATGATCATGGTCACACGGGAAATAAGCAACAGAGCTAAAAATCTAACCTAGCTTTGGGGGAAATGCGAATCACATGGAATCCATTTGAAAACTGCAGATAAGGTCCAAGCATCTCTATCTGCCAGAAAGCAGTCTCCCATGTCTGGAGAAAGGAACCCCAGTTATTCCTTGTTGTATAAGCAATTGAAAAAATAGCAGAAAAGAGTCTTCTAAATAATTTCTCAGCACCCCAAAGAAGAAGCCATGAAAACAGAATTTGAAAATAAATGAATGAATGAAGAGATGAAAATCTGAGATCAGATATTTCAAGCTAGAAGTGGCCTTAGACATCAATTAGTCCAATACCTTCATTTTACAAATAAGAAAACAATCCCAGAGAGGTTGTGACTTCCCAAAGTTACAGAAACAGTAAATTGCAGAGAAAGGATTTGCACTCATCCTCTTTGACTACCAAGGCCAGTGTTCTTTCCAAGGTACCATGACAACCCAAGGCAATTTTTCAATTCTGAGCCCATACAAAAGGAGGGAGAGATACTACAACCAAAAGAGCATTTCCAAGGTTATAAATAGATGGAGATGCAAAAATATGCCAGCACAAGTCAACTCTTGTTTCTCCAGAATGATCGGGGAGCAAACTCTTCTGTTGACCAAAAGCCGTTCACCAAAGATCTTCTGACCAGTTTATCAATTTGTAAAGAAATCAATAGCAACAGGATACACTTCAGCCCCAAAATGAGGCTGGGTGAGTGACTCAGAAAACATGACAAGCAAAGCCACGGTCAGTCTGATAAACACCAATCATCAGTATACAGAACTATAGGAAAACCTGCTTCTTGCACACTGTGATGATTTGGATTCCAAATAAGAGTTTGCTGCAAACGTAACAGAGAATCTTCCAAACAGGGGAGTCAGGAGGAAAGATTCCAGTCTCACTCAAAATAATAATACTAATTAGACAAAGCTACATCCTTCTTACTTTGAAGACCTACTTTTTTCATTCTAGATTAAAAGGATAGCTGGTCTTGGGAAAGTATGGCAGTTCAAGAATTTAAAATGCCCAACATATTTGAGATAAGAATTCTAGACATTTTATAATGAATACTGAATGTATTTCTTATTTTCTTATGCAAAATTTTTAAACCCTTCCAATTTCTCCCATGACCTAAAGTGGCCTTCCATTCAAAATCATGAATGAGAAATAGAAAGGAGGGGATTTCAGGCAGAGAGCACCGGATGCTTCATCAATACAGTCAAAACAATGGGAAAAGGCAACAGCCTTAAACCATCCCCTTAAGAATGCTTATTTGTGTTGCCCTTGCCAGAATGCTAAACTCTTTCATGGGCTTTTTTTAAAATATAAATTTCCTTTTCATCAGGAGAGCATGGTTCTTCATTGCATGTTATCTGAAGACTCTTGTAGGAATCTACTGAGCTCTGTCACTTACACAATCACATTCCATATCTTCCACAGCTAACACACAAATGTCCAGAGAACACACATTCCTATGAGCTGGAATCAGGAGTTCAATTGGAGAATTAAAAAATCTTGTTCTACTCTAAGACAAGGATAACTTTCCAACCTTGGGGTCAGTGCTCAGGAACTAGGACCTGATATTGTGCCAAACTTGCCTTACATCCTAAATGAGCCTCCACGATTATTTCCCCCCATAAAAACCCTTCAAAATTCTTTCCTGTGAGATCGTTCATTTTTTTCAATTACATAACACAGTTTTCCAGTACGTTGAAGGTTATCAGATGAGTAATATGCGCCAATCTACATCCTTACTAAATATATCGCAGTGTGTGCGCATGTATAGATATAACCAAATTGCCTAAAGATGTGAGGGCTGATAACAATCCATCAGATATACACATCCACACATGCTCATTCCTGTGCTGAGAAACAGCTGCATAAGGCACTGGAAAGAATACCCCAGTAGGAATTCAAAGCCCAAGTGTTCTCGTCCCTTCTCAACAAGAATATTGAAATGAATCCAAACAGTTTCATTATCACAGCAACTCTGAGCCCAAAGCTCTACTGGACAAATGCTCTCATCTCAGTCCTCCCTGCCAAGCTGGACCGAAATCTCCCACTCGAACATTCTCTGTGAGGTTTTAATGTTGGTATTGATAGGGCCCCTGCCTCTCCCTAACGCTGTCCCCCAGCCCTTGCCACATCTTAGTGATGACTGAAGGAGAGGCAGCCTGTTGAAAGGTACAGTTTCATTGCAGAGGCAAATAATAATGAACAGCAAAATTGTGCCTGTCGCTAATGAGGCGAGGCATAATATATTTTGTGCCCTTTGTCCCAAACTCCAGAACCTAACCCAGAGGAGAATTCACCCTGACCAGGATGAGATTTTTTGGTGATATAATATACAAGACATGACATTGGCTGGGAGCACTATTATTAAAGAGAGATTAAAACAGCTGTACATTATGCTGCAGCACTCACTCTTCCCTTTACAAACAGACGGTCCTGGATTACAAGAAGCACTTGACCATCAACCAGATTTAACCAGCTGGGCCATATTCTCCTAGGCAATGCCTGTTGACCTCCTCAGTCGCAGCTGCTCAGATGAAATTCTCATTAGACAACTTATTTTCAGAAGCCAAAGGACCCTCTGATTAAATATATGTATTTAGACATAAAAAAGTCTTTTTAAAAGTACTCATTTTCTGACAAGTGCTGCTTATGATAGGGCCCAGCTACACTGGGAACAAGAGCAGGCAATACAAGGAGAACGAAAATTCATCACTTAATCACAGCTGAAGGGTTGGAGACTAGAAGGATTTTAACCTGGAGCTCTCAATCAGAGCCTTGCTGTCTACCCCAACCAACTTTACTAGACTAACAGCTGCTTTAAAAGTTAGATTTTTTTTCCCCCTTTCTTTCTTTTCACAGAAGAATTTAAATTGTCTGCATTAGGTTCCTATTCAAGACAAGATCAGACTTCCACTGAAACTCACTACTGGGCAACTCAAGGCACCGACCTGCTGCCAAAGGTACTGTTGCCTTCCAAGAAAAACACCTCCAGGAGAAACAAGCATGTGAGGTAGGTAGTACAAGGATGATTAATCCTCACTTAGTGACTTGCCCAGGGTCACACAGCTATAAGTGTCTCAGGCAGGAAGGGAGCCCAAGTTTCCTGACTCCAGGTCTAGCACTCTAACCACTAGACCACACTGTCTTGAAATGCATTAATTCCCTCTCCCATCTCCATGCTTTTGCATGGGCGGTCTCTTCTAAATCCAGAATGCACTCTTTCCTAACATCTGTCTCCTAGCATTCCTTGTTTCCTTCAAAGCCCAGCTCCATCTACACCTGAGTGCCCTCCCCCAAGACACAGAGAGAGAGAGAGAAAAAAAAGAGAGAAAGAGAGAGACAGAGTTGATATGTCTCCTTCAAATAACTTTGTATTTATTTTGTATATAGCTTTGTGTTTGAATACCATACCTACCACCTGCCTCCTGTAGAATATAAGCTTCTTGGAGAAAAATCTGACAGATTTTTGTCTCTGTAGCTCTTGTACCTAGCACATAGAAGGTGCTTAATAGATGTTTATTGGACTAAGGTTAACTCATCTGCCTAATACCATTAAAAGATGCTCATTTGAGGAGGTCATTTGTAGACAACTAACTAGCTAACCACTGAATAATGGGTTGATTTATTAAAACTATTTCTTTCACTCCAAAGATTCAAAGGATTTAGAGTAGGAAGGTATCTTAAAGATAGATCCAGTCCTGCACAGAGCACCTAGGTGGTGCAATGCGTAGAATGCCGGCCCTGGAGTCCAGAGGACCTGAGTTCTGGTCTGGCATGAGACGCTAAATGTGTGACACTGGGCAAGTTACTTAATCCTGCTTGCCTCAGCTTCCTCGTCTGCAAAATGACTTGGAGAAGGAAATGGCCAGTATCTTTGCCAAGAAAACCCCGAATGAAGTCACAAGAGTCAGACATGACTAAAACGACTCAACCAAGAAAAAAAGGGCAAAAACAAAAACAAACAAACAAAACACAAAACAGAGAGCCAGAAATGTGAAGTGACTTGTCCAAAGTCACATTACAAGCGAATTAGCAGAACCAAGATAGTAACCTAGGTCGCCTAATTCCAAACCCTAGTCTATTCCCTACTGAGAGAATGATCTAGTCAACTATGCACTAACATCAAGAGTCCTGAAGACAGTCCCCGCAAACAACCCCGTCCCCAGCCCAGACCCTCTCTTCTGCATCTGGAAAATGAGGGCTTGGAGCTGAAGGGTCTCTGAGGTGCCCTCCAGCTCCAACACTCTTTTATCCCCCTTGCTCAATGCATCAAACGGTTGGTGTTAGGGTTAGCGCACACAGAAGGGAACATTCCACTGCTAGTCTGTTTCAAAAAAAAAATAATTACAAAGCAAAATACAAACAAAGGAGCAAAGGCAAATGCAAAACAAAAAAAGGCAGAACTTTATGGGAGGATCAACATTTTGCTGAAGTGGCATAGGCATATCTCTTGATATCCTATTAATTCTCCTCTTCTATTAATTTAACAAATATTTGTGTCAACTGTCTGTCACATGCAAGGCTCCTAGGAGCATACAAAGACCTAAAAAGCTTAATTCCTGCCCTCAAGACACTTAAAGTCAGGTAGGTAAGATAAGACAAATAAGACAATACAAAAGTAATACAACATAGGATGTGATGAGTTCCATAAGAATGACACTGAGTACCATAAAGGAGAAACTATGTATTTCTTTATGTATTTATACATTTCTTTACACGTCATTGTTGTTCAGTAGTTTCAGTTGTGTCTAACTCTTTGTGACCCCATTTGGGGTTTTCTTGGCAAAGATACTGGAGTGGTTCGCCATTTCCTTCTCTAGCTCATTTTACAGATGAGGAAACTGAGGCAAACAGGGTCTTGCCCAGAGTCACACAGCTAGTAAAAATCTCAGGTCTCCCTGACTCGAAGCCTAGTGCTCTATCTACTGCTCCACCTAGCTGCCCTTCTTTTCATTAAGACATATTAAAATATCTTAATTTTTGAGGTCTAAAATCTGTGCCATGAAAATATAGTTATATAAATTATATTTAAAAAAACTTTTTCTTCTCTAATAGGAATATAGTGATGGAATACTCTTAAATTCATCCATGGATAAGCTCTTCTTACTCATGCAAGCACCTCTCTCATTCCAAATCAACTATATTCTACATTAATGAAGAGGAAGGACAGAAAAGTCACCATTTTTCACACCAGGGAAAATACTGAGAAGTCCATCCCTACTGGTAGGAAATTATAATCATAAAACTATTGGTTTATTTTTTTTAATAGCTAAAGTTCTGGAGAATTAAAATATTCTTTCAATGGCAACTAAAGAAAAAGGAAGAAAGGAAGGCAGGAAGGAAAGACATTAATACATCACTTGTCCAGAGATCATTGATCTGGGAACCTTAGCTCCCTTCAACTCAGCCAAGAATCAGGCAGCTTTAGTGCCCAGAATCTTAAGACTTTTATTTTTGAGTACAGAGGTTCATCATCTTCTCATACTTCAGCCTTAGGCTGTCAAAGCTTGTTTGTATTAATTTTATACACAATTTTAATGAGTTCAGTTACCTGATCTTCCAGCCCACAGTAAAATAGAAACAAGCAAATTAGAAGCAGGGGAGAGTCAAGGTAAGTACACTGAAAATTACAAGAAGTTAAAGCTGGAGATCTAATAGGAAATGAGGAAACAGAAAAATCAGAGTACAGCAGTCTGGGGCCATTTCATGGAAGAGTAAACAGGCCCACACACCTCACTCACCCTTGTAGGTTATCACTGCACTGCAGGCCAGTCCAATAACTGATACTCATAAGGATACACATTTACTTGCATGTCATGACATCACCTCCATGACATCACCTCCTCGTCAAGAATGAAGGACAAACAACAATTTATAAGGATGATCCTGAGTTGCCAAGAAAGGATTAGTTTTAAGTTCAAATATTAACTACTTATTAAGGCAGGGGAGTATGTGACACATTTTAGAAAGATTTCCACCAAAAAACATTGTTAAAAGTTGGTTCAAAGTTGGGCACAGAAAGGGGTAAGGTTCTGCAAAATTTCCTTTCACGGAACTCTCACTGAGCAATGATGTATAAATACGGTTTTTCTGTACTGAACTTAAATGACTAGTAATAAGCCCAAAGCTTATTGACCTAGAGAGGTCATGTGACTTCCCCAAAGATCACAGAGGAAGCAGTTAGTAGAGTTGAGATGTGAACCTGCATCTTCTAACTCCAAAGTCAGTCACTGTTCTATCTACTATGCCATACTACCAGTATACTGGCATATTATACATAACAAAGATACTCATGTTTGTTTTCTGGTTGGAGCATTTTTTTTTAATTACTCTGATCCGATTCTGAAATTTTGTGATTCTGCAAAGGCTGATTAGTTTCATTTGATCCTCTGAACCTCAAGGATTAATTAGGTTAGAATTGAATGGACCTTTCAGTGGATGGGGAGTTTTTCTAAGACATGCCAGGACTTAAAAATTATCAAAGTTGGAGGTAACTAAAATAAGGAATTCCTGGGATGAAGACAAATCAATTTGTGGAGGTTTTATTTAATTTTTTTTAATCTGATTTTTCCCCAAAACAAAACTAACTTTTGAGAAAGAAAGAGATATATAAATGGGGGGGAAAAAAAGAAAAAAATTTCAGCTAGAAAAATTTCCAAAGTAACTTTTTTAAAGGGTGAGGCTTTAAACTCTCACTTTGTTATCATAAGCACAACATAAAAAAGTAGAAAGTTTTTGAAAAACAGAGCTATCTGCTTAACACTCCTAATGGATCACAATCTGCCATCACCATGGTAACCTCTGAATAACTTTTTTTTTCCCAGCTATTGCCAATTATACACTTCTTTGGCTCTTGAAATCCCACACATTTTTTTAAGGCCTGGAATCTTCAAGAAGAAGAAGAAAAAAAGAAGCTGTCACAGTCTTATTCCATACATACCCTCCTGCTCAGTCCGGGTCATCTCCTCCAACTTCTTCTGTTTCAATGTGTCCACGACGTCTGCCAAGCTCCCTTTGCGGCGCTCTGGAGTTCCAAAAGTGACGCTGGTCATTATCTCTCGGTCCCGACCCCCGTCGTCAGGCTTGTGTGGTGAGGTAGAGGTATTTCGGAAGGAATAGAGGGAACATAACTTAGTATTCTCTGATTCCTGTAAGAAAAAAAAAATTTAATTAGGATGTGCTGAGCTACCCTACTTGCTTTAGGATAAATTCCAAGCCCATAGTATGAACACATGTAGCCGCTAATATTACAAATACTGAGCAAGCTAAGTAACATGTCAATTTTGTTTCTTTTCCTAAATAATGGATAAAGTAATAAAGTGGTAACTGTCCAAGAAATTTACCTGCAACTACAGACGCAACCTGAATGTATTTTCAAAATTGTAAATCAGGTTCAATGTTGCGTAAACCTAGTTTTGAAACAGGCATTGCAACTTCCTACTCATTTTACACCCTTCTGTACAGAATGTTTCAGATCCAGTGAATAATTATTGAGGTTGGGAAGGTCAGACTTTTTAAACTATGCCTATTGGCTAAGGTCTTCCCATGGTTTCAGACATGTAGATCACAAAACATTTATTCCCTACATTTAGTACCAATAAAAACATTTAACAGTATTATATTTAAGAGCTCACAAACATTTCTAAGAGGAGAGTGTGCAAGAGAAACTTTAAACTCTACTAGAATGATTTTTCTGTCAAGGGCCTGCCCTAAATAACAAAAACTGCACCACCTCTACCACCACCACCACCCAAAATATTCCAAACCATGTTCATCCATACACTAGAACACAGGACTTATGACCACTCAGGTCTCTTCATTTCTAAATCTATGACAGTAGATGTTCGCATCCTTTACCAAAGGGCAAACTTATCACAGAAATATTGACACAGGAATTACTTCATAGGACAGAAGTACAAATGAGTTACTAAACAGGTAGGAGGGAGGGTCCACCAGCTGAACACTAAGGGTACAAAGCTTACAATGAAATTGATAAACAACTCAGACAGACAGGAAGGAGATATTTGTTTCTTTGTTTCTCCAAATCAGGACTGATAATTAGAAGCAATTACAATTTAGCAATAGTCATTCTCTTCTGCCGAATTCTCGTCATTAGTGTCTCCATGCAAGCTCTTTGACATAGTAAAGACCTTAGAGAATAGGCATTGGTCCCACCCCCCACATTTTACAAAAGAGAAAACTGAGGCTTAGAGGGGTTAATTGATTTGCCCAAGGTCACATAGATCTCTATAGTGTGAAAAATTTCCAGGAAATCTGATGCTGCATAGGAAACTGTTTTCTAATGATTACCTTGATATCTATTTCACTTGAACCCAGTAATGCTGAGAGGGAGGACAGCAGTGGAGTAGGAGCCACAGGAATGAATGGGAGGATGAAAGGATAAAAGAAGGAGGAACAGAAGAGAAAGAGGAAATCATTTCCACCTAAGCATAGATCCTGCTACCTTGTTGCACACACCATGAGGCAGGTTGGCACACTCTTCAAAAAAGAACCTCCAAAGGAGACATAATTCAACAGGGAAGGGGAAACACACCCAGCATACCCTGCAGGGCCCACTGACTCAGCTACCTCCATTACACTCAGATGGTATAATGTGGCTTATACCAAAATTGAGCAGAGTATGGAAGAATGCTAGATTTGAAACTGGTGAGCTTGGGTTTGAGTGAGTCCTAGTTCAACCACTCACAAAGCGTGTGACTTTGGGCAAGTCACTTAACTTAGTTCTCAGCTTCTAAATCTGTAAAATGGAGATAACAATTCTTTCACTGTCTGCCTCATCGGGCCGTTGTGAGGAAATGTGTGGCCCTAAATGATTCCATAAATGTAAGTTATTATCATTCCTGAAAAGCAGCAGGTCATAAGGTGAGGAAGACTTGGGTCCTCTGATACAAATATGTATTAGCAATGGGTGTCAAGCAAGTCACTTAACCTCTCAGTGGGATCAGACATCTCTATAAGACTAGAGCTGATCCACATTGGAGAAGGAAGCTCTTCATAAAAAGATCTGAACCCTGAGGAAATTTCAGATCTAATCTTTCTTGTCTGGACAGATGGATGGATGGATGGATGGATGGATGGATGGATGGATGGATGGAATGAGATAAAGACGGGAGAGGAGAGAGAGAAGAAATTATTATAGCTGGTATGTGGGTAAGCTGATTCTCCCTTTTCCTCAGGATGACACTTGAATGAAAGAGAGAATTCAGGAATTAAAGCACAGGATTCTTTCTTTCCCTTTGGGACCTCTCAAGGGCTCTCTTAAAAAAGAGTAACATGGGAGACACTAGCACAGGACCACTCAGCATAGCGTACCCCAGGAAAAAAGGTGCTGATCTCTATGAGCAAAGCAGAACACAAGTAGCTCAAAAGAAACGTGAGATGCACAAATTAAAGAATCCACCCCAAATGTTCACATGGACTATCTGTGCCTGAATAGTGGTAAAACATTCTGAGATCATATTGGTTGGATCAGTGACAGTCGGACACACCGTAATTTGACTCTAGCATGGTGATGTCATTTTGGTCCTCTTCAAGAACAAAAGATAGCAACCAATTAACCATCAAGGCACAAGCATTCAGTGGCAGATATCCCAAAGACATTTTTGCTTATACTAGATTTCTGAGCTGAAAGTTGATCCAGGTTGATAATCATCATTTGAACAAATACTGCTTTTTTAAAAATAACTGTTTAAGACGAAGCTGCAAACGAAGTATCAATCTGCACCAGTAAAAGAAATTTCCTCATTTGGAAGTTCCTATGTAAATGTAATCATAGGTCTAGTCCTATCCCTATTTTAAATAAAAATATATTTGGTGTCTTCTGCCTTTACATCTATTTGTAAAGCTTTTTTCAAACCTTAAGGTAATATGTGAATGCTAGCTATCATCATCATCATCATCATCATTGTTGTCGTCATCATCATCATCATCATCATCATCATCATCATCATCGCCATTATTATTGTCATCATTTCTGGATATATCACATCAACCCTAACCTAAAATGTGACTTTCTTTAAACATAGAAAAGCACCTAAACAAAAATCCCTGCTAATGTGATTGTACCTGAAAATGCTTGAAAGGTCCAACCTCAGTGGTCCTCCACCTTCCCCTTTCTTTCCCTAACCTCTCTGCTGGAATAAATGTGACAGGTTTCACAATCTATTCTCCAGGACCAATATCGGTTAATGCCCACCCATGCCATTTGAAATGGAAAGGCATTCTCATGTTATGGTTAGTTAAACAAAGTAACACTGAGCTAAATATAAGGGATCAAAGGGCTCACTCCCAACTGAGGTAGTGAGAACCTGAAGACTACACTTGCTGAAGGACCCCAACAACAGGCTCTCTAATCATTTCCAACCCAAGGTGCAAAGACTACACAAGAAAAGGACAATGCAAACTCAAAGAGCTAACGACTGGCACTAGGTGACACTGACCAGCATCATTAGTAAGTTATGCAACTTGTCCAGGAGGGTACAACATTTTCTTCTTGGGACCAGGGGGCATTTGACCGAAGACACAGTTTCTCCCAAAGGGAAAGCTACCAGACCCAGGCAGAAAATGCACCAAGATATCATCACAACCAACCGACAGAATAAAAGTGGCTGAAGTTTCTGAAGTCCACCCAAACTACTCAAGGGCTCCTTAAGTGAAGGGGGAGAGGGAGGGTGGGGGGAAGCATAATTATTGCCCCTAATTTTTTCACCTTTTAGATTACAATGAACACCAGACCTTGAAGTACAAAAGCTAATGGAAATCTTATCTATTAAGATGGACAGGTAAACATTACTTCATTTGTTTTGTTTTAGTTTTGAAGGGGAACATTGCCTGAGACTTCAACTAAAATGAAGAGATAAAAGTCAAGATTATTTGCTAAGCATCTTCCTAAGAAGTGTGGTAGAGCTTTGACCTGTGGGGCATCAGATAAGCTGCTGCCAAAAGCCCTCATAAGGGCTTCTCCCTTTCCTTCTCACTGCCTGTAAGCAGGCACTGGTTAAGTGATTTGCCCAAGATCATACAGCTTATAAGTGTCAAGGGTTAGATTTGAATTCATATTTTCCTGAGTCTAAGTCCAGTGCTCTATCTACTGAACCATACAGCTGCAAGTATCACAGGCTTAGTGGCATCTTTGACAATGCCTTGTGTCAAAGGTCCTGGAATCCATCAGTTATTGGTTACAGGGCCATGGCAGGTAGAAAGATGGGAAATTTTTCATTACACTATTAATAAAAAGCTTTTTTCTTTTCTTTTCTCTATTTGAGAGTAGATCTCCTTATTTTACCCAGGCTGGAAATACAGTGGCTACTCACAGGCCCAATCCTAATGCTGACTGGTACAAAAGCTTTAACTTGTTTTGTTTTTCCAATATGGGCCAACTCACACGTCCTTAGGCAGCCTAATGGTCTTCCATTGCTAGGTGTTCACCATATTAGTGGCAGATTTACTGCAGAAATTTCATCAGCTTTAGCCTTACATCAGAAGCCCCAAACTCAAATGAGTCACCAATGTCAGCCTGCCTGAGTAGCAGGGATTATAAGCCATAAACACTTATCGATTGATTTGTTGATTGGCTCTGGTGCTTTGACACAACAATTACAAGAAGATAGATGCGTCATAGTGATGGAAGGCACCACACCTGGCCATTGTGAATTTTAAGACAACATTTCTCCAAAGAAAGGCAATGAAGTAAGCATGCCTTAGCAATGAAACATGGAGATAATAGCAAGAATTTTCACTATGGAAAAGGACACAGCTCATTGTGATATCAGATGGAACATAAGGGATATTTTCTTCTCCTGAACTCTCCCATGAATTGATAATGATAATAAAACAGCCACTATAGTAAACGGCCAAGGATGTAGCCATCACAAAGGCAGAGCCCAGGTGGCCCGGAGGGAGGAGTCTGGTTGTAGGGAATTTGATTCTGTCCGTTTTCCCTCCTTGTCTAATCCTGCCTCCCCACTCCCACCTCACTCAAATCTCCCATTCCCCAAATCTGACAGGAAGGTTTTAGTTTGTTTGTTTGTTTGTTTGTTTGTTTGTTTTTATCAATAAGAGCTAAGTTTAGGAAGTAAAAATCTTCAGGCCATGCCTATTTCATACTCATCCTAGGCCCAAAGGGAAG